GATGGGGGCAGCTCGCGCTCAACTTCATCAACGTGGCGAGCCTTGCACGTGAGAGGCACAGTGGAGGTGGAGTTCAAAGAAGAATGAGAAATTTAATGGTTTCAATCTGCCCTTGTTTTTTCTTTTTGTTTTTAGTTTTATTTTTATTTTTGCATGTTATCACTGTGCCCGTTTTTTGCTTTTATTCTTTGTTCCGCAAAGTGCGCTCTTTTAGTTTGTAGTGATGTGACAATATATATATCTAATATTTTTATTTAAATTATTTTTATTTTTTTTATTATTTTTGGCCTGGCCGGGCAAGTTGCCCCAGGATGCTCTGATAGCCTAGTTAGCAAGTGATTAAGATGAGAAAAAGAATAAGAATAAGCATAAGAAAAAGAAGAAGAGTGGGAGCATGAAACACAGTTGTGAACCGTTGATCATTTGACGAACTCGTTTTGTGTCAAAAAGGCAATTCAACGAGTGAAAAGAAAGCGAATAGGATAAAAAACGCAGAGAACAGAAACATTTTGCAAGTCCGTGTTATGTGCTGTCATGTTGCCTATACACAACCCCCCCCAACCCCCCCCAACCCCCCCCAACCCCCCCCCAAAAAAGCATGACTGTGCCAGACTGTTCTGTCAGACTTTCATGAACTCATCAGGAGGTTGAACACCCGACAGTCTGCCCAGAATGCATTTGACTGAAGGATCAGGACTCACCACGTCGCCAAGAGTTAGCGACACCCCTGAGAAAAGTGGTAGACTTTACTCACACCGACCCTGCAATTTTGTGTGTGTGTGTGTGTGTGTGTGTGTGTGTGTGTGTGTGTGTGTTCAATCCAAGAATCAAACACACAACCTATGGCTTGCCAGGTAGACACCTAACCAATAGGCTAAGCGGGCTGGGGTGAAAGTGAATCCCCAAGATGACTACTTCACCCCACCCCAGCGCGGTTTTCTCTGTGACCCAACCACACTCATCCCACACATGTCGCATCCACACAGCCGTAGTATGATTGCTGTGGCAGTTACTGCTTGAAAGCACGTGTATGTCCAATCCAAGAATCAAACACACAACCTGCAGCTTGCCAGGCAGATACCTAACCAGTAAGCTACATATGGTTGGTCACATCACGTTGGTCGTTGGACGTCTTTTATGGTCTCAGCCTTTCAGGATCTACTTGAGCAGATTCTTTTCCATTGGGCAAGAGGTGTTGCGGAAGCATCGGTGATTAATTGGCAATGAATTGAATGAATGGCATTGAATGCTTTTTTTTTTTTTTTTTTTTTTTTCCCCCTCTGAGAAGCTGGCGACAGGGGAAGGTCCCCACACGGCTATTTAGAAGAATTTGGACCATTTCTTGATTCATGCATGTCACCCTTGTGCCGGGGCCATGCTAATCTTCTCTGTTGTTTTATGGATGATCGTCTTGTTTCAGGATCTACTTGAGCAGATTCTTCCCCTTGAGGAAGAGGTGTTGTGGAAGCATCTGGAGAAGATTGTTCACTGCGTGGAAAAGCAGCAGCGGCGCAGGCAACAGGTACGCACTTTAATCCTTTCTTTTTCTTTCCTGTACAGGTCTGGGCTCCTGTTTACAGCCTTTTTCCACATACAAGTATTGACATTGCTCTCCATGAGCGTGCTCGTAGTACTACCAAATGCCACACCAGAAGGCTATACATAGCATATAAACAAACCTCCCGAAATTCCACACACAAAAAACTTCGATCCAGAAGGGAACGTCGCCAGGGAACCTACATCAAATACTCGTAATGCTGAACCAAGAAGACCTGGAAGGTGCAAGTTTGGGCTTCGCTCCAAAACTCTGCATGAATTTGGATGCTTGCTGGACCAGGTGCATTTGGATGAGTCAAACATTTCACATGTATCAGGTGCAAAAAGTGTCTGAATGCATGTAGAGTGTTGTGCCGTGGAGCGAGGCCCTGTAACACTACAAGTTGTTGTGTCCATAGCATGCTGGATGATGCCCCACAAATGAACAGACAGGTAATGCAACTTCGCAAAAGAACCCCCACGTTGTTTCCCCTAATCCCCTAAGCTCAGTCTCTCCCTAGCTGAAGCCACCTCACCTCCCATTGCCAAGGCTCCCCTTGATCTGAGGGCTAGATGGTGTGCCCTCCGCCCTGCAGCCCTTGCATCCACTGGCAGTTTTCACCAAATTCTGACGGCCGAGACTGAAGCAGTAGTGGGTATTGCCTACTAGTTTATGGCTATCCGCCAGCTCTGTCGATTTCCATTTGGGTGGCAGAGAGTGAAAAGATCACTGTTGTTGTTCTGCGTATTGACTTTTCCTCCTTACATGTCTTTGTGTGCCTTGCCACGCTAAATGTTATCGAAGCCCGGCACCACGGGCCAGTTTTCATCTTGAATGCAAAAAAAAACGGCGCCGCTCAATTCTGACTGGAAAAGCACCACTGTACTGTGGCACCAGTCTAAATTGGTCAGTTGGAACTTGTAAGTGATTGTACTCGTGCCATGGATGGCCATCAGTGGTAGGCATCTGTGATGGGGCCGTTGCGTCAATTCATGTACATAGTACATTCAGCGATGTCCTTTTCATTCCAGCGTTACCGGGGCATTTTTTATTGCAGCAGGCTGGCACCATATCCAGGGATTTCACAGTGTGCAATAGTGATAGATATTCTCAATTGATGCCAGTCTGGCAGGGTAAACCTTTTTCTCCTTTTTGTCACGGGTTTTCCTCGTTTTACGTTGACTAGCGGCATATTATTTGCCGACCACGTCTGACATGGCAACCAGTTTACCACTTTCTTGGGCGAACAACCGAACACGTGGAACCCTTAGTCCTTCCACCATTGCTGATGGGGTGAGGCTATGCCTTCACCGTATTCTCTACAGTCACCTGAAGAGAACTTAGGCTACGAGCTGTATGAACGATTTGTGCAAAAAAGACATGGAGTCAGACACATAATTGAATCATTCTCATCACAACTGAGGGAACCGGAAGGTTAGATTAACGACTGGGAGGGTGCGCATGTGATAAGGGTAGGAGGCATCCTGAAATTGCTCGCATGTATTCGTCATGAGATAATGGCCCCTTAAAGCCAGGAGTACTTCAAGCTGTTGTTGTGAATTTGTCACACATTTGGCAAAGGGTTTGGACTTTGAAGTTTGAACAAATTTTGGTGGCACTTCCACAAATTTGGAAAGGGGCTTCTTTGCAAAGTTGCTACAGACTCGAGTTCAAATGACATTCTTGCTAAACTTAGGACCCCCCTGGGAGTCTGACTAACTCCCTGATGTAGCCAAAATTTTGGCAGTGCTCTGCTAGGGATCCAGCACTTGGTGAGCATCTATACAACTAGGAAAGGTGTCGACATCGATTTCTGAAAGTTGTTTCAAAAGAGATGATGGTATAGACTGAAGGTATTCATTCTGTGCAGAGGGCAGGGCAGGGAATTTGATATTCCCTGGACTGTGTTGGAGTATCGACGGAAGATATTTTGTGGAAAAGGTGAATAAAAACATTTACATTCCTTATTCATTTTGTACATGGGACGCTGGACCCGTTTTCCAGCAGGTGATGCTCCCCACCAATAGATGGAGCCACTCTCGATAAATATATAAATAAATAAATAAACATTCCTTTGGCTAACCTTGGTGGATAGATAATCTGGCGCACAGTTGACTTCAACAATCCAATCCTCCGGCTCTGGACTAGGGCGCGCATATCTGTTTAGTCGGAATGGGTGGATATCATGTAGGAACATGTAATAGGTCGCACTGACGCATTATGAGATATAGAACGAGTTTGTTGCTGTTACGAGTTTCAAGCATCTTGTAAGTACGTCCATCCATCATCTCGCTTACACACTTCGCATCGGTTCCTGTCACAAGGGAATCGCATATCACGTGCGAAGTACATCTTTCCAAGCCTATCATCGGACTCAGGAGTCCTATCGTCATGGGCATGGAACACATCTCCACAAACAATAGCACGTCTGTGATAGGGTTTCATCTGACTCTAGGCGAGGAAGTGGAGACATGTTTTGGTCGAAATGCACAGGTTATGGTGTGAGAACTGCTAAGAAGTTATTAACATCATGTGTAGACAAGTGCACATTATCATATTCGTGACAAGTTTGTTTCTGCCAAAACTGAGTTGCAGAGCAAGTGAGGAGTACCTATCATCGACGATTCACCAGGGGGCGGTGAAACACAGCTCCACGAACGAAAGCATGACTGTGACAGAGTTTCATCTGGCTTTCACCGGCTTGTTACGAGGTTCAACTTCGCCAATCTCTCCAGGATGCATCTGAACTAAACAGGCCAGGTTGCCTGAAGTTAGTGATATCCTTTAGGGGAAGGGATTGGGTTTACTCATGCCAACCTTGAATTCTAGCAGACTACCTAGCTCAGACCTCTGGCAAAAAGGGTCGGGCGAACTAGTCTATCATGACCATTAAACCCACTGCATATTTGTGTATGGGATGTGTGTGTGTGTGTGTGTGTGTGTGTGTGTGTGTGTGTGCACGCACACATGGAACTAGGAAATTTTGAATCCGTGCGAACTTTGTTAGAATCGACTGCGCCTTGCTGTGGAAGGTTGTGATTTTTGTTTAATGGAATTGTTTGGACATTATGATAGGGTTCAGGACAAGTTCCGATGAGTACTATTGCGCTGTTAGGCCCTTATTCTTTTCATTGTGTATGCTGGATGAGTGAATTTCTTTTTGTGTTTACATTTTCCGATGTGTGTTTTCATTCATTTGGAGTGTCGACGCAATTGTGTTCTTTTTTATCTTTTTTTTTTGGTCAACCGTGGACCAGGAATTGGCCAGTAAACTGAGAAGGGTAAATAGTAACTTAATACTAAATAGTGAAATAAATTAAAATAATCTGAGGCAAAGAACAGAAAACATCTATGTCTCGGAGAGTCTGAATCCTTTTCCGATTGGAGCAGGATGGAAAATGCACATGATCAAAGCTAAGCAACATGTATGGTGTGTTTCTTTCCGACGGGAACTTTTCCTGTTTTTTTTTTTTTTTTGGGGGGGGGGACCATTTCTCGATTTATGTGTGTTATGATATTATCCTTGCACAGGGACCATGCTAATCTTCTCTGTATCTTTGAATTTTTTAACAGTATGTGGTTGTCATCGTCATTGAAGCGGCGTGAGAACGTTTCCAGCTATTGTCATCGTGGGATGGTTGATTATGTATGTATGTATGTATGTATGTATGTATGTATGCATGTATGTATGCATGTATGTATGCATGTATGTATGTATGCATGTATGTATGCATGTATGCATGTATGTATGCATGTATGTATGTATGCATGTATGTTGGTTCTCCTGATTTCTGTGATCCATGGCGCTCATAGAAGCGTGGTTTCCAGTTGTCGGCATCATGACATTGGTTGATTATGTCTGTCCACTTTCTCTGATTGCCGTGATGCACTCCGTATTTGGACAGTATTTTTGTCAAAATACGCCTTACCAGCTCGCTGGTTCTCACCGTCACCATCCGGCTTCGGTCAGGATTCCAAATTTGAGGTGGGACTGTTGTCATCTCTGGGTTTTGTTTTTTGTTTTTTTAATATTGGAGAATTTTGGACCATTTCCGATTTATGCGGGCCATCCTTGCGCAGGGGCCATGCTAATCTTCTTTGTATCGTTCCAATTTCAATGGATGTCCTGGACGACGTCATCTCTGTGTTTTAATTACATGTAAGAAAAGAGCAAAATGTGAAGTTAGTGCTCTAAATGTAGAGAGGCCCTTGGCTGGGATTTAGGGACAGACAGTGAGGTACGATGGGATGGCGAATAAGAACGTTGGACTTGCAAGGATTTGTGGCATGCTAAATGGAACAAATTCTCATCTATAAACTTAGTATATACATCAATAAACGATCCCTCTGTGTGCAGATGTACAGGCTTGCTCACAGCTTGGTCGCCCGTATACATCTAATATGCTGTGGAAATATTTGTCTTCTTTCGCGATCTCTATAAGGTGTATGGTATGGCTTAGAAGTTAGAATTCTGGGTGTGTTAGGATGTGATTTCTCTGCTAGTGTGATGTGATGGGACTATCTTCATCGCCATTGTTGTTGCTCATCATTTTTGCGTATTTCTCGTCTTTATCTTCCCCGGTATCAACATCCAAGGCAGCTACTTTGCTTGATCATCAATGTGAGTCGATGCGGTATTCCATTCCGGACATGGTGTACTCTGTGTAGCAGTGGAGGATGGGGATCGGCGTTCTGAGGTGCATCTGTGCGTGGTCGGGTTTTGTGTCGTCGAATCTTTTGTGCAGGAGAACCCAGAGTTGAGGCGTGTGGCAACAACAGTTCATGCCTCACATGCCAAGGCCATTGCAGAAGCCTCAGCAGCCAATGGCTCGACACCCAAGTACGGGCACTCCTCCAGTTGGCGTGCGTCATTGCTTTTTTTTTTCCCCCATTAGGCTCACAGGGTTATGTCATCTCATCCTGGTCGCGTGCCAATCCCTCTTGCCCCGCTCTATCTCTCTTGGCTCACCCGCGGGCAGATGTGCACGCCCGCCAATCTGGTGATCTGTTGTACAGGCACTCCTCCAGTTGGCTTGCTTCATTGTTTTTTTTTTTTTTTTTTAATCCATTACGCTCGCAGCGTTATGTCATCTCATCCTAGTCATGTGCCCGATCTATGTGTGCTTCCCTCTTGCACCCTTCCATCTCTGCGCTCGCCCGCATGTGCATGTACACGCCTACCAATCTTGCAATCCGTTGTGCTGCATGCATAACCATAGCGGAACGTGCTAAGAGACCTTGAGGTTCCCACTTCCGTTGGCTCGCCAGCATTGTGGTCCAATCTGTTGATATTAGCTGAAGCCTGGTGCAGACCTGCTGGGCTGGTCTTGCAAGTATCATCCAGTAGTCATCATATGGATGGATGGCTCTGCCGTCTGTCTGTGTATTGCTGCATCTTCGTAGTCCTGTCTCTCACCTGGTCTAAGACCTTTTCTGTCGTCCCGTTGAAGGAGAATGTGTAGATTCTGCCAGATTGTAGCAACATCATCACTAGAATGAATGCAAGGGGTCGCCTTTTCTATCTGTCAGATGATTGAACCGTACCTTGTGTTTTTCTGTGTTTGCATGGCTCTGCCGTCTGTCTGTGTGTTGCCGTATCTTTGTTATCCCCTCTCCTGGTCGACATACAACCTTCTCCGCTGTCCCGTCGAAGGAGAATGCATGGATTCTGGCAGATCCTAGCAACATCGTCACTAGAATGAATGCAGGGGGAGGCTGTTTCCTTCTATCAGATGATTGTAACATCGAACCGTACCGTGTGTTTTTCTGTTGTATGTGATGTCACAAGTGAGAGTCAGAAAGGATAGGGAAGAAAAAAAGAACAAAATGGGAGAGGATTATGAGGATATACTTTCCATCTGTCATGTCATTGCCGCCCCAAGCTTCATGGATCCGTACATCTGGGCCTAAGACCTCCTCCGCGCAAGCGCAGATTTGAACCGGTGGCTTCGGCCGCAAGCGCCAAGTCTGCCGCAAACCATGCCGTGCATGTTTTTCCGCTGTGTGTGATGTGGATGTGGCATCAAATGAGAATGGATAGAGGATTACGAGGATATACTTTCCATCTGTCATGTCATTGCCGCCCCAAGCTTCATGGATCCGTACATCTGGGCCTAAGACCTCCTCCGCGCAAGCGCGGATTCGAACCGGTGGCCTCAGCCGCAAGCGCCAAGTCTGCCGCAAACCATGCCGTGCATGTTTTTCCGCTGTGTGTGATGTGGATGTGGCATCAAATGAGAATGGATAAAGGATGGGAACGGCATCAAAGAGAATGCACAGACTCCAACCGGCTACCTCGGTCATGATGCTTCACATCTGTCATTTGATTGTTGCATCGAGCCAGAGCATCAAGCCAGGTGTTCTTCATCTTTTTTTTCTTCCCCTTCTTTGGAAGTTGTCCCGCGTAGATGTCAGAGCATGTGTGTGTTCTAAGTTCTTCTGTGGTATTTGATATCAAAGTTTTCACACTGTATCGGATGTGATGGAATGACTGTGTGTGTGTAATCGCGGTAAGACGAGTCCCATCTTTTCTTCCACACAAAATGTTCACAGGGCAACATATGTCTGTGTGGATCACATTGTTTTTTTTTTTTTTAAGAATTCTTTTATTCCGTTCATTAGGTTCCGTTTGGATTCCAGCTTGGGTCTGTATTTCGACAGTTGTACCAACTGGCCTTGACTCGTTGGTATTGTGACGGTGTTGAGCATAATTGGGTGTACATTATAGTACAGACTTAAAATACCAAAGCTTAATGGTCACAGGTGCCTTGCTGTGTGGCAAGCACGCTCTCTAGATCTCGCTCAAAAAAAAAGATCTGGGTGGCGAAAAATGAAAGTTTGGGGCACCCTCAGTTTATTCTCTGTTGGACACGTATGGTCCCGGAAATCCGATGGTTCTGTATTTGGACAGTTCATAGGTGTACCAACTGGCCTAGACTCATTGGTATTGTGACGGTGTTTGTTTAGCATAATTGGGTGTACATTACAGTACGTACTTAAAATACCAAAGCTTAATGGCAACAGGCGCCTTGCTGTGGGACAAGCACCCTCGCTAGATCTCACTAAAAAAAAAAGATCTGGGTGGCTGAAAATGAAAGCTCGGCGCACTCAGTTTATTCTCCGTTGGACACGTATGGGCCCGGAAATCCGATTCTGAAATCTTTTCTGACAGATGCGTGAGTGTCGTGCGACGTTGGTTCACCGTCTGTCTGCATTCGCAAGTGTGAGACGCTGGATAGGCAATGCAGATCGCTGTGTCAGAAGGCAAGTACAGCAGGGGAAGACGGTAGTGGTTAGGACCCTGGGTACTACTACCCGCACAGAGTAGAGCTTGCTTGTAAAATGTCCTGACGAGTGCTCAGATTGATGTGTTCGCTAGTAATGTCCAGTGTCCCAATGGTGTGAAGTGCAAAAAATTGAGACAATTTTTGTTTTTTTAAATACCTGTCCCCCGATGAGGAGACAACATCAAAGAAAAAAAAAACCTTCAAAAAAGAGAGCAAAAAAAAAAAAAAAAAAAAGAGAAGTCACCTGGTCCAGAATGCGTCCAAATGCATGTATCGTTGTGTAGTGCAGTGATGCCCTATATCGGGGAAAATAAATGGTATTTCTCAATGCTTACGGTCAGGTCTGTTCCACACGTGCTGTGAGATCTGTTCTAGACTTGCCTTTTTTCAATACTCGATGCCAATCCTACTGGATCTTAAACTGGCAGTACACGGCCCCAGCCTTGCAGAGAAAGGCAAGTTGCCAACTCCGAAGTTCTCGCACCCGGGGCCTACCGAACTACGATGCCTGGCGGCGAAAAGCCAAAAAAGAAAAAAGTTGTGTTGCTGGCGATTAGGCAAAGCTTGGCGCGCAGTGGAGTGCCTCGAGTCCCGGGTGTACTGGTGGTTTAGCACCTACTCATAGCTACCTACATTGGGGAACAGAAACGGAAGGCGGGGTGCGCCCCCGAACGTACTAGAGGGCGAAAGCGATGACGATCTGGTTTTGTTTTTCATTTTGTCTTAGAAATGACTTCCGTTCTTGAGTTGGGCTTCACTCTACTACAGAACAGTCTCAATGTATCGGGCTGTGATGTGATCCAGAAACATGCGGACTGACCAAACATTTTGAGTGTATCACTGCCAGATCGAGATATGTTCGTAGTGTTGTGTAGTGGAGATGCACTATTTCATTCTGGGAAGCGGGCGATGAAAACCAGGGTGGGTCGAACACCACTAGGCAGCGAAGCCAGAAGCTGCCAGTGATGAGACACCTCAAAAGGACAGAATTATGTTCGCCTCGGCACTCACGAAATGAATAGAAATGAGTGCATCTCCCCACAGAAGGTTGCAAAATACGTCCAGTACTATGCACATAGCAATGGATGCATCTCCCGACATATATTCATTCTGGCCCATGAAAACCTGGGCCGGGCCTAACACTACGAGGCAGCGAAGCTGGCAGCTGCCAGCGACGAGACACCAGAAAAGGACATAAATATATCCGACTCGCCACTCGCGAAACGAATAAAAAAGAGTTCACCTTCCCACAGAAGGGGTCAAGATACGTGCATTGCCAATATATGTATATCGTATACAAGTGCCCATGGAACCGTAGGCAGAGAGGGAGAAGAGGACAACAAATGAGGGGCTGTGACAGACTGTTTCATGGGAGTTTCATATTGAGCCGAGAGAGAGAGAGAGAGAGAGAGAGAGAGAGAGAGAGAGAGAGAGAGAGAGAGAGAGAGAGAGAGAGAGAGAGAGATGTGGGAAGTTGCTTTTATTTTGCTTATTAGTAGTTATTATGTTTTCGTTTTAAGAGGTTAAAGGTTTCTTCTTACAAGGAACCACACAATGAGATCAGCAATATTCTAGATTGCAAAATCTCACAGAAGACCGAACATGATTGAGCTGAGTTGAAAGCAGAAAACCAAGGAGCATGCACCAGAGGGGGACAGAATCTCACAGAAGACCGACCAATATTCTAGATTGCGAAATCTCACACAGTGAGAACACCAATTAGGAGGAAACAAAACGCCCAAGTCTCTTGATAAAGGAAGTTCATCAAAAAAAAAGAAAAAGAAAAAGGAAAAGAACGGAAGTCTTAGAAAGAAAGAAAGAAAGAAAGAAAGCTCGCCATCCGCCGCCAAACCAGCAATGGAACAGCAATGTAGTGGCCCTGCCCTACTTGCGAGATGTCTGCCCTAATCTACTCCCCGCTAGCTCTTACTCATGCTAGCCTCTATTACCACTCTCTCTGTCCACGTGTCACTGTTCAACACTCCTTGAACACTCTGCTTATACAAGCTTCCTCTGCGAACACCAGGTAAGAACCACGGGTACCACTGGTCCCACGGGTCCCACAGCAATGTTGTGGCCCTTCTTCCCTGACTTGCACATTTCACCACTCAGCTTCCCTGCCCCTAGCTCTGGCTGGTGCTCACTGCAGCCACCGCAGGTGCTCTCCGTCTTCGGGCGCTGCTCTCCACCACACTGCGCAGCACCCACACCTTGCATCATCTGCCCAAATGTGCTTTCCCTGTCGGCCTCCAGACTTCTGCGCTGGACAGTAGGCCGTGTCCAGACCCAGTATGCAGTGCCTGCAGCCTACTGGGACTGTGTCCGGGTCCCCCAGCCTCGGTAACTAAATAGGCCTGCCACCAAACCCAAGGGCCCCCTCGCCTGCCTTCACATAGAGCCGGCGTGAATTTTCCAGGCTCGCCTTCACTTTACACAGACTGGGCTCTTTTCCAGCAGCACAGCCTGAGCTGCGGAGGCGTGGAGCCTCACATTCCGTCCCCCCCTCTTGTTCAAAAGTCCTCTGTGAACCTCTTCAATCTTGCCGTTGCTTTGCCTTCGGAGTCCTTTCATAGAGCAGAATAATCTGAGGAGCAGATTTCATCAGTTCCTCAGTTCCTACCTTGCGAACCACTGATCCTCGGCAGCACTCCTAGCGCAGTTGGTTGTGCATGGAAGTGGTATTCAGGAGGTCGTGGGTTCACTCCCCCACAGCTGCCTGCTGCGGGCTCGGTGCTCACCAGCTGAGATATGTGGCTTGGCCCCGCCAGCGGGTCTTGGTACGAACCTGGGAGTCCCTCCCTTGCCCCTGCCATCCCTCGCTGAGTGTTCATAGCCTAGGTACTACTCCCTGCGTAGAGTAGAGTAGATAGCCACTCCTACTGCTCAGGATATGGAGCCTGGATAGTGTGAGGTAAAAAAAATTGAGAGAAGAATATAGGTTATTATTAAAAAGAAAACATTGATCCTCCTTTTGGATCCAGGTGATGTCTCAAAGCCACCCGGTATTGTATATGTGGCTCCGGCGGTTTTCCCCTGCCTGGAGACCTTTGCACCAGCATCTCCTTATGTTCGGCAATGCGGGTCAATGTCAACGTATCCATCCGTGGAAGGGGACAACATTGATCGTTGAGAAGGAAACTTATCAGTTTGGGCGAACCGTAGGAGTTTGGAAGTATGGAACGCTGGGTACGTATGCAGATGAGGAGGGACATTTACTGTGCAAGACCAGCCATCAGGATCGTTCACTACTTTGTCTAACATAGGCAAAGGACCAAAGTACTGAGGCATCAGTTGCCGCGCGCGAGGTGAAGATGTCATCGTGGCATCCTGTGAACCTCCCCCAGATGACAACTGAATAGCTCTTGCCGGTCTACCACGGGGGAGAAGATGTCACAGGGACAACCACAAAATGCTTCCCTGTAGACAGTTGTGTCGTTGTTGTTATTCGAGTTTCGCCGGGGGCAGCAACATCATCATGGCAGCACCATCACCCCCCCCTATGATGGTATCCGATCTTGAAGAATCAGGGGGCAAGATATCATGCTGATGTACAGACCAGCGATAAGTGGCAGGCTGGCAGCTTATCGCCCCAGTTGAGTTGTTTGCACATAGTGTAGTGCCTTAGTAACTGCTGCACTAGCCGGTTCGTCTGTTCAGGCCGGCCATTAGCATCAGGGTCATTACCCGGAGTCATCTGCGATTCCGAACCTATCATTTGAGCGATATGTTCCTGGAACCCTGTAAACGTTGTCCCAGTCTTGTCTGAAGCGCGCACGCGTCTTACCATAATCTTTTCAAGCGAGGCCTTGTAAATCCTGGACGGGAATCTGAAGACAAAACTCTCAACGGAGGTCCAAGGAAATTTGCCCCAAGAATCCTTCTCAAAGTTGAACATTAAATACGTTTGATGATTCTACTCATATATTTTAATTCCTATTCTTCTACAAATTAGTTATGCCTTTAGTTGTGGGTGCAGAACCTTTCATCCCAGACTCAGAATTTCATTGAGAGAGGAAAATCTGAGCCCTGATGGCAGCACTGAGGAGAAGCTGGAAACCAGGTAGTGTGAAGGGTCAGTGATGTTGCAGGAGCTTGCAACCCTATTGTCGATTTCCGCAGAGACTCCTGAAAGAGATGTAGGATTGTTATCGATCATGTCTTGCTGAATCATTGCTGGTGGAATAAGAATCATTCCTTTTCCTTTTCTTTGAGCAGAATCTTCCCTGTAAAGTTTCTGACCCAGCATATTGTTCATCATCATCATGAGCCATGACCCTCATTCTACGCACTCTTCTTTCTTTTTGTTGTTGTTGGTCTATCTGCCAACTGGAAAGTGGGCTCGTGCGAATCATGGACTTAATTGCACAGTTTTTCATCCCTGGTCAATGCGGTTTGAATGGATCCTTGTGCACTGTAGTGGGATTGTGCATTTTTCCTAGCCTGCTGTGCCGCTTGCCTGCTTGCGAAGGGTCAGGCTAGTCTTCTTCTCCTGAATACAACGTACAGTTATTGTTGCCGTATTTAGACTGAAATGTACCCAAAACACAGCTATAATGACCATAAGTTGTATTCTGGTGAAGAAGGTAGTCCTCAGCATGATTTCTATTAATTTTTTGCCACTGACCTTCTGCCTGATTCATTGTCATTTTTTTGCCTATATACTATATAGTGGATATTCCCTTATCTGAACTGAAGAATGAGCATGGACACCACTGTTAACAGTGTTTTTGTGTCATTCATGTGCGTGCATGTTGTGTGTGTTATGGGCTGCTGTGTGTTTTTCTGGGGTAAGCATGATGCATGTCCAAGCCTCTCTCTCTCTCTCTCTCTCTCTCTCTCTCTCTCTCTCTCTCTCTCTCTCTCTGTGTGTGTGTGTGTGTGTGTGTGTGTGTGTGGTGTGTGTGTGTGTGTGGTGTGTGTGGTGTGTGTGTGTGTGTGTGTGTGTGTGTGTGTGTGTGTGTGTGCGCGCGCGCGTGTATGTGCGTGTGTGAAGGTGCTGTGTGTGAAGGTGCTGTGTGTTGATGCTTTTGGTGTTCATGCTCCTCTTTCCGTGTATGGCTGATGTTGTGGAGCAGTCCCTTAGAGCTAGCTGTTCCCATGATGGCTGTTGGGGAGCCGGCACATGCGTTTTCCTCTCCGTTGGGTGGCATTCTCCCATCGGGCATGGGTATGCTTCACGGTGCTTCTCCAGGAGCAACCACTTTAGAGCATCCAGGTATCGCCGGCCAATCCGTTTCCGGCATGCCATTGAGTGCGCAGAGAGCACAGGGAGCGTACATCTCCGGCAGCCCAGCAACGTACTCTGCTGTCATCGGAAGGTATCGCCTTGAACCAAATCTTCCGTTTGTATTCATTAATCTACTAATTTTGCCTTCTGAGAACCTGTGCCTGCTATATACCATGCAATGTGAGGTGGGTAATCATATAGCAATCATAGGATGTGTGAATGAATCGTGTCCAGGGCATGAGGAATTCTGCTGCCTCCAACTGTATCATTATTGGGGCAGAGCATTGTTCAAGTGCCACTGTTACTCATGGGTCTGATTGGGGCTGGATTTTCAGAAAGAAATGTGATAATGCCTCTTTCTGGCGATTTCGGCATGGGTTCAGCCTTTCCTGGACTCTGATTCAGAAGAAAACCTGGACTCCAATTTTGAAGAAAACAATAGGAAATGCAAAGCAATTTGAGGTGAACATATATATTATTCAGCCTCCTGATGAGTCGGTGAAATTCCTACGGAACAGTTTGTCACAGCCCCTCTTTTGCAGTCCTATTCTCCCTCTCTGCCTATGGTTTACCAGCCAGCTCTGTTTGACAATATATATTATACTGTGTAGCGTTAGAAACACAGGCAACTTCTGGCCGAGCTAACCATGTCTGCCCGCAGACCAGAGGTTACCTGACCCGCACTCAGCGGCACCAACGGAACCCACATTGTGACGTTGAGGGTTCGGGGTTTGCCTGGCCCAGGCAAGTGGGTCCAGGTAACTGGCCTGGCTGGGTGAGGGGCAGCTGATGCTTGGGCGCGGGTCACTCGATGACTGGGTGATGGGCGGATGATGCTTTGGCCTGTGTCACGGAAACACTGGGCCGCCCCCTTCCCAACAGGAAAAAAAGAAGGTACAAATATGCTTCAGGGAGTAACAGGGCGTTGAGGGGGGGGGGGGACAGCATTCTTTGGCGCAACTGCAACTTCCGCCTGTGCATAAACAAATGAAAAGGAGGCCTACGCAGCCCGACTACAGCAAGGAACGATTTGGGCGGTGCAGGCCTGGTGATGAGAAAACTGTGAGGGAATCTACCTGCAACTGGCTGAAAGATTCACTCATCATTCAGCAATTGGCAAGCAGGCTGCAGGTGGACAGCCGCAGCGGTCAACAGAGGGTGGCCGGCGGAGGAGAATCCATGGGCCACACCATCACCAGACGGAGTCAGGCGGTCTGGGTGTCAACCATAACGGACACTGCAGTGTTGAATGCGTTTATCGTCGTTTCTTGATATATACACTTTTGTGAGCATGGGTACGGTACGGGTGAATGTCACTACGTATATAACAATCGCTATTTGGTGGCCTGTGACCAGCAGCCGATCTGGGCCCTTTGTTTCCTTGATGTGCGACGGTCCAGATTGGCTGCTGATTGTTTTCAATGTCATCAACTCACGATCTATACCGTCGTCGGCGTTGTACTGCACGGCCCAGATCGTGTGTTAATTGTTTTCGAGACGATCGCTGGGCCCGTAGGCCCTGGCCCGGTAGTGCCACACGCTGTACAACGGGGGCAGCGCCTACCGGCCCTGCACAAATTCCAACTTCCCAGGCCCCGGTAGTGCCGCGCGCGGCACCAGCAAAAATTTGCCGTCTCCAGGCCCCGGTAGTGCCACACTTGCCCGGAAGCCCTGGGGTTTGTAACTACTTTTTTTAGGGAGGTGGCAGCAAATTCGCGCTCCCCAGACCCCGGTAGTGCCGCGCAGGGCCACGTAATGAACTCTTTTTGGAGAGGCGGCCAAACGGCTGATTTGGTTGATGGCTGCCTACGCACGACTTCGATGCTACTCTAACTCGACTTCGACTCTCTAGAATGCTACTCTACACTACTGCGCTCGACTTCCATTCTCTACGATGCTACTTGTGCTCAACTTCGCTACCTGCATATCAACAAATAGACCCTCTCTCTCTCTCTCTCTCTCTCTCTCTCTCTCTCTCTCTCTCTCTCTCCTTGAACGGTAGGGGGGGCAAGGAAGGTGGGAGCGACATGCTTTCTTTTCCCTTTGGGCTCGATGCTTGACTGAGAGAGACGCACAGAGAGAGAGAGAGAGAGAGAGAGAGAGAGAGAGAGAGAGAGAGAGAGAGAGAGAGAGAGAGAGAGAGAGAGAGAGAGAGAGA